GGTAAGTTTTATGTATTTATTGTGTTTTCGTATATATTGTTATTATATGTTTGTATATATATATATATGGTTTTTTGGCGTATATAATATAACTTGTGATTATTTCATATTCGTATTTTTTCATGTAAATGATCCTAACTTGCGGTTTCTTTGTGTAGACTATTGATAACTGCTATTATGTTTTCTGGTTGTCAGGGTAATTTTGATATATATTATTATATTTTCGTATATATTGCTCTTTAATGTTTGTATATATATATATATATATATATATCATTTATATATAATTCGTGATTTTTTCATACTCGTATTTTGTTATTGTATTTAACTGTTTGTTTTTTGTTGAATGATTTTGCATGGTGTTGTCTTATTCACGATGCGTTATACTAGTTAGTTCATCGTCTTGTAGTTATTTATATGAATATCTTTGCGTGTTTATGATTTACGGGTTGTGATTTTAGATTTGCATTAGATTTATGTCAATTTGTTAGAGTTGTTGATTTTGATTCTGATTGTTGTAGGAACTTATGTTCTACCGTATCATCTTCCTGGTGCGAATATCAACGCGAATTCGTTGAAGTTTACTGCTTGGATGGAATATAATAAGGTTGACCCGGATGCATGGCCATTGACTTACACGCAGTTTTTTACGAAGTTTGTATAGGATTGTAATAATAAGCGTTGGAAGCCTAGATGTTGTGGTGGTAGTAAACAGAGTCATTTGGCATATTGTCCTGATACTTCTGGAGAGATTTATTACTTGAGGCTTTTATTGCTTAGGGTAAAAGGCCCGACATCTTTTGATTCTATAAAGACGGTGGCTGATATTGTTTATCTGACGTTTAAAGATGCATGCCGTGTTTTGGGTTTAGTCGATGATGATGAGGAGTATGCTGCGGCATTGTGGGAGGCAAGTCGTTGGTATGATGGTTCGATGGTGCCTGTTTTGTTTAGGGATTAATAATTGCATTGATGTTTTTTATGGACATGCGATCCTGTTTTATTATTTTTTTTTTTATTTGGTTTTATTTTAAATACTCTAAATCTACAAATTACTCGAATCTTCGATATCTATTTGGTGTATTTCCTGTTTATTACATTTTGTGTCTATCATATTTTAAGTATTCTTGATTTTGGCTTTTTCAATATATGTGTATTGTATAATTGAAAATGTTAATGTCTATGGTGGATATATCTTCAAATATACGGTTCTTATATATCGCTTGATACATGCTTCGTGTTAATTCACAGAGTAATAATGGATATTATGTGGTTAATATATTGTTAAATATGTGATTCATATGTATCGATCAATATTTGTGTTTTAGTGATTCGTAAAAGTAATCATTGATGTATTCGTATATATTAACATGTCTGGGTATATTCACAATCATTATTCAACATTTTTGGTAATATCCATTGTGGTTATATAGTACGTATATTATGGGGAATTTTACATTTATAATTGTGAAATTATATATTTTATATAATGGATATTCATATATATTAACATAATTTGGTATATTCAAAAAGGTTATTCAATATACTTGAGAATATCGAAAATAGTTATATAGTGCGTATAAGATGAAAAATTTTAATATCTCTAATACTGTAGTTGCGGTTTTTATGTAAACCCTAATTTATTACTCATTCTTAGGTTATATTAACATGATGTATATATTCTCTCTAATTATTACGTCCTAATCTGCGCTGATAGACTTGAGAATAAGATGCAGTATCGATAATAACCCATTTTCAGATCATGGTTCTTTCTCTCTATGTTGTTGTGTCGTCTTCTTCTTCTTCTGTGTTCCCTGGACATCCTACTCGGTCGTTGATGCGTGCGTATAAAGAAACTGGTATTTCTATTTTATTTTAGACATGGATACGTGGTTGTGTGGTTTGTTTTGGTTATTATGTATTTCATAGTTTCTTTCTGATTTCTTGGAAGTTCCTTTGCTAAGTCGAGTTCGGCGAGTTTTTGATGGTAGTTTGCTGTCATATTACGTGCCCTATGTGTTTTTAACTTACCGAGGTATGCTCGTGGATGATGTGTTTAGGTTATAATAGAGAGCATGTGTGCTGGTTATATTGATTCTGAAGTATTTAAGCGGTTGCTCATTTATGTAGATATGGATGATTGTAGTCCAAGCTCTTTTGGTGTCTCACAATTGAGGCCTGGTTTTGTTGGGTCGGTAGTTTTCGTTAAGGTGTTACGAGTTTGGACTACTTCGTTACTTCCGTCTAATAAAAGATTGAATTTCATTTTGTGCGATGATGAGGTTTGTTAAAATGATCCGTACTTCTATTCTCTGTTATTATTTTCGTTGTTGAGTACTCCAGTGTTTGGTTTCGTTGTTGTGTTTCAGGGTGTGAAGATTTGTGGAACCGTTTATTTTGCTGATTGTGACCGTTTCTTTCCTGTACTGTGTGAGTGTGTTTGGGTTACAGTTAAGAATTTCGTTGTTATTGATTTAAATAGCGATTACAGAATTACATCCCATCGCAGTGAGATGCTTATTCTAGGTCCGACAGTTGTTGATGCGCAAGTCCATCGAATTGATCAAGATTATTTTAATTTTATAAGATTTGAGCAGATTCTCGCTAGTGCTCCCTCAGATTGATCTTTGGTTGGTATGTTATTGATTAAATGTTCGATTGTTATAAAATATGGCGTTGTTTTGGTTTGTCTTAGATACTGGTTGTAATTGTTTGTGTTCTCTAGATTTAATTGGGGAAGTCGTGTGCATAAGAGAGTTGAAATTACCTGTTAAAGATACTGGTGGACATGCAGTATTTGCATTCGAACTAAGAGATCTAAGGTATGTTTTGTGTTACACATGTCATCTCTTTATGTCGTTTTTGATTGCTAATATATATAATATACATTCTTCGTTTGTGCAGGGACGTGTGTATCAAATGCGTGATGTTAGGTGGTGATGCTCAGAAGTTTTATAATGACTGGTCTAGATGTAGCAGTGATGTGGTGGTTTTTGTTGCAAGATGGGCTATAGTTGATGTCTATTCAGGTTTGTTGAATTTGATTGTTTTCTGTGTTCTTGTGAATTGTTACTGAAACTTAATGATTTTTTATTATTTTCTATTGCACACATAATTAGGAAAAGTCGCTATATCTACTACATATCCCACCATGATCATGGTAAACCCTTGCCTTGCTGAAGTGTCCGGATTCAGATCCATGTAAGTTCTTCGGACAATATTAGTTTCTTTGCTTGTTTATGTTTCTAAATAATGTCTTTGGAATGTTTTACAGGATATTGGATAAACGCTCAAGAAGTAGAATCGAGAATAAGCATGCCAATCCTTAAAGCAATTATCTTTTTCAGAAAATGGAATGATTAGTTTTGATATTTTTTTGAACTTATGTGCTTTCGTTTTGACTACAGGTTATAAGATTATTGATATTTGCATGGACGTTCATGCGTTTATTTGGTTTTTCGTTTGTTTTATTTAATGTCGAGATTATTATATATTAATTTAGTATGTTCCTTTAGATGTGAGTTGTACAATGTAAGAAGAAGAATGAGATGATCATAGATAGATAAAACACCATTAAATAAAAGTTCATATAGAAGACGACATTACAAATAAATTTAACGATAGGATTCATATTCTGAAACCGGCATCATCTGGGCCAAATTCCTCAAACATGTCGACTAAATTATCCCACACTATCCTATTAATCCACTGGGGCTTATCACCGCCACGCGCCCATATCCTCTTCAACGCATGCATTCTAGGACAGAAATTAAATTGCGTCCAAACCGTTGAAGTGTGTCTGTGGTCCCACGTGTATAGTCACTATAAATAAACTAAAGAATATAAATTACAAGATTATGGAACCATGTGATGGTTTTTGTTTGTTTTATGTGCTTTATAGTGTAGATAGGTGTTTACCGCTAGCAGAAAAACTATCGTGTCTTAAAACGGACGGGAATTAATCGATACGTCGGCCATTTATGGTACTAGTTCTGTTTAAGGATCTCTTCAATAGCGACATAGAGAAGGTGATTGAACATGAACCATGCAACAATGGTTTTGTCAACCCATAAACCTGCACCAGGATATAGAACGAAAAGATTTTCTCGATCAGAACCGTTAATTATCGCATCAGTATCTCTCAATAATTGTCTGGTGATGGGAGGAGCAACTTCCATATCAAAAGGTTATAATAGAGAGCCTGAGATGGAATGTAATATTTAAGAGAATCTGATACATCTATACTATTATTTGAGAAATAGATTTCCGATGTGGCGCTCTCACGTTCGCTCTCACCATACTTTAGCCATCGATTTTTCCAATTATGCCCTTAATAAAAACTGTGATCTAATTCTCGGTTTAGTGTTATTCGCGGTTTATTAAATTAGTTGGTTGGTTAGTTTGGATAAAGATGGTCTGATTTCAATATAATCATTTTTTAATAATAATTATGATGATAAGATCAAATCTACGTTTATGGAAAGGAAATATTTCTAAATTCAATGTTAGATCTATCTTCAATTATTAAATAAGTTTGATATTAACCAAAAAGGAATATTCGTTTGTTCGTTGATCTTAAATATTATCAAAATGGAAATAAATTTAATGTATTTGCCAAACTTTTATGCAAATATCTTTCGAGTTGTTTATATTTACTTTTTGATATATTAAATTTAATATCAACCTATATTTATATTATATATTTTGAATTTTAATTTAAATATATTAGATTTTTGCGGCGGATATCGATAATTAATAGAAAGCTTTATATTATATGAAGAGAAACCCTAATACTAAAACCTATTACATGGGGCTATATATATTGAATGCATATCATGGTATCCTCTTGCCTCTCTGCCTATTGTTTTTAGACGAGTTTTTTTGTTTGTTTGATTGGATTATTGTTTCTTAATATGTTTTTGATCTTTGTGTAGGCGACCGTCGGTGTTCTAGATGTTTCAGTGCATGGAATAGTAGGCACGGACGAGATAAGGAAAAAAATGAGACAAATACAAAGGTTAGTTTGTACGGTTTGTTTTTGACTGAATAATATATGTCGTGATATTTTGTTTTGATTATTTTTATAATCTTTTCTTTGTTTGCTCTTCAAACAATTTTTGGTGTATAGCTTCCGCTGAACCTTCCGAGTCAGTTTCAGTGTCCACGGAATCCAGCGACGACACCGGAGCAGTTGTGTTCACTGCTCCTCCTGGTTTCAAGCCTCCCGAGCCAAAATGCTTCGTCGCTAAACCCGGAAAACTCTTCGATGTCTTGGGTGCAGCCATCGGTTTGTTTTTCCGATTCGGCATTGGGGTTTTCGTTTCTGGGTAAATCGCCTCACTCTCTTTTCCCCCATTTTCGTCTTCTTCGCATTTCTGAGAGCTTGAATTGAGTGTGTTCACAGTCGGAATCACTCTTGTTTATGCTTGATGGTCTCGATTGGTGTAGCTACGGTTAATTGATTTGATTCCTCTTCGTTGTATCTGAGCAGGTACTCTGCATCTTTCGTGTCCAAGGATGAGGTTCCTGCTGACCAGTATGCGTTGCGAATTGGCGGTAACCATGAAAAATCATCACTAAAGCTTTTCTCTTTCTGTTTCTCTTGTTCTAGATTTTAAAGAGAAAATTTGATGAAATGGTGTTCCAAGATTAGAGAAATTTCCCTAAAAGCTGTGGGTTTTATTTGTTTTCAGATGAGTTTGTGAATAGATATTGTAATCCTAATGGGTTGATGCTATGTGTAGGTATCACGGTAAAGGAAACCTCAAAGCTCGGGCCTCGCCCTGAGAAACCCATCGAGATATACGAGTTTGAAGGGTATGTATGATCTATTGACTGTGTGTTTGATTGCTCTTTCAGACTCATTTGGTTTCTATCTTCTTTGATATCTAATGTATGACTCATTTCTCTCCATTTCCGGTATGCGAATATAGCTGTCCCTTCTGTCGGAAGGTAACTCTCTCTTCTTTAGGTTCTTACGGAATCAATCTCATCGTCTTAGATGTTTTACAATCAGCCTAACATTCTGAAGATTTTGTTATGCTTGAAATCTATGAATTTTAGTATTGCCTGTTGGAACTGGTTTCCGAACTCAGTAAAATAGACTAGTCGGAGATGAAAGTTCGGGGATTTTCTTATTAATTATTTAACCGAATGACAAGTACAAAGAGGGGAGAACAAAAACGAAATCGTCGAAAACTTTAAGTAAAAGAGAGCGGCCCGCTTTGTGAGTTCCGGGGAATCGTCAAGCAGGGAACCGTCAAAAGGAAGGAGAAAGGACGTCTCGCGGAGAAGTCGACTTCGGGAGCGCAGGCTTGTCGGGCTCGAGAATCGAGAAAAGGTCATTTTCCGAAAATATCAGATGTCTTGTCACATCAGGTTACTGTGCTATTTATAGCATCTCGATGGCGGTGCCAGTCTTTGGGCCTGCAGGCTTTTTCGTAAATGGCCCAAATTACCAACTAAAAAATGGGCCGGGCCGCCATCTGCTTCTGTTGACTTCGGGTTGACTTCAGCCAATGGGCCTTCTTCAATATTGATCCATTAGCTTGTAAATGGCCTAGGCCAATTCGATGGACCTTTGGGCCCAGTACCAACAGTAAGTCCCCCCAGTCCGTTAGGTAAGAATTTGTTCGAAACGTGATAGATTCTCCGAAGTTAATTGACCTGGCATATTTTCCGAGACGTCAACTTTTCGTTCGGCACAATTTTTGAGGTGGCATGGTTCCCGAGGCATCTCCTTGGTCAGAATTTAAAAAATCTTCAGCTTTTCTTCTTTCTCTATAAATACTCCTACCCTCATTTCTTCACTCCTCTTGGCCATTCTCTTCTTAGCAGCTGCAGCAGCACAAGCTAAGGTAACTTCTTCTCTTACTCCCTCCCTTCTCTTCTTGCTTTCTCGTCTATTTCGCGGGGTCGTGTGTGGGGGGTCATTGTGTAAGATCAGGGGCTCGGCAGTCTTGATGGCGCAGCGAGTTGGAGTTTGCCGTGGATCTTCGTCGGACCAGCGAGCAGATGCGTGGCATCCTGTTGCGAAGGAGGTCCGCGAGCCGGAGGTTCGCCACGATTCCGACAGCTCGAGAGCAATCTGCTCGGACGCTGCTCGGATCCGGCCGCTCAGGGGCCGGGCGCTCGCGATACCATGCCGGCCGCTCGGACGTTGCTCGAGAGCTGGCCACTCAGAAGTCGGCCGCTCGAGAGCCGGGCACTCGAGCACCGGCCGCTCGGGAGTCGGCCGCTCGGTCGACCACTCGGTTGCCGGTCGTTCGGGAGCCGGGCACTCGGAGCCACCCGCTCGGGAGCCGGCTGCTCGGTCGCCATTCGGGAGCCGGGCGCTTGGGAGCCATTCGGAAGCTGGGCACTCGGGAGCTGGCTGCTCGGTCGCCGCTCAGGAGCCGGGCACTCAAGAGCCGGCTGCTCGGTCGCCGCTCGACAGCCGTTCGGGGATGCCGGCCGTTCGAGAGTTCGGGGATGCGGAGCCGTAGCTTGCTTGGGGACGTCGGCTGCTCGGGGTGCCGTCCGCTCAGGGACGCCGGTCGCTCGAGTTGGTGGGTGTTTGCGACTTGTCGGGACCGCTTTGGTTTTCTTTGCCTTGATTAACGAAAGCTGTTGTTGTCTTTCTTTGCAGATTTTGTAGTCGGTCCTCAGTTTGTCGGTATGCTTGGTTTTCGATTGAGAGATGCAGTTAGCTGATTTTCTGCAAGAGGGGGGATTTCCTCTTCGGGACTTCGAAGGATCGTCATCTTCTAGAGGGGCTGGATCTTCGTCTTCGAGTCGCGGAAAATCAGTTTTCTTGAATGGGTTAGAGTTTGTAGATATTGAGGGGTTTGAGGGAGGTCCCGATATTTGCTGTGAAGGAGGTGCGGCGATGAGCGGAGTTGTCACGGAGGATAATGGTGAAGAGGGTGGAGTCGTCCTGGCAAATTATGGCAGAATGAGTGTCGAAACTAGCGTTGAGTCTAGCACCGAGTCGGAGTTGGCTCTTCAGGAAGATATGGAGAAGGATCTTTGTGCATTCCCGAAATCTCGATCAAGTCGTAAATTCTTGGAGGGTATTCAGTCGCTTTGTAGGGTCTCTGGTCTTGATTTCCGGGTTCCGGAGCTGGATGAGCATCCTTGGAATGCCCCCCCCCCCCCCCCCCCCCCCCCCCCGGCTTCGTCTATCTCTACGAGTATTGGTTTGAGAAGTGTGGGCTGTGGCTTACATTGTCTGATTTGCTGGTGGATTACTGTAGCGCGAGACGGATTGCGTTTTCACAGCTATGCCCGGGTGCGATTCAGATTATCGTTGGGGTGATAGTCGTGGGGGAAAGCAATCGTATCAACGTGAGTCTTCGTCTTTTGGAGGCAATGTCGGTTGTTTCGTGGAACACGACGGGGTTTTGAGGGACGATCTCATTACAGATGAAACCAAACAGGAAAATCGTTAAAACTCCGTGGAGGAAAGATTCCAACTGGATGGATCGTTGCTTCTTTGCCCGAGTAACGGAAGATGTGTTTGCTCCGGTCCGTCACGGGGAGTTAGACATTTTTGTTCGGTGGAGGGCGCATAACGGCAGTCTTGGGTATTTTCTGGTGTTTGTTTTACCGGGTCTCCTCTGATCTCTTGTTTTTTTTTTTGTTTTTTTGCAGTTCCTCATCCGACTGATAGGCGGGGGCGTGCACTTGTACAAGGCGAACTTGACGCGTTTAAGCAGTTGGGAGCAAAGAAGTGGTCATCGATTGTCAAAGCTCGGGTGCGGAGAGACTAGGCTCGCAGACTTAGTGGTTCGTAGTCCATTCCTTCCTTTTTTTTGGCGGGAGGCGGTCGCTAACACTTGTCAATTTTTTTAGTTGGCTTCTCGACTCGGACGGTGGAAAGCATGGATAGGATGATGGAGGAGATTCCGACGTACTCGATTTCTTCGCCAATAGATCCGGGTCGCCTGATGCCGCCGGGGACGAGCAAAGTTTGTGCGGAGAGGGCGACCGCTGCAACGAAAGGGAAGGGTGTCGAATCGGATCGTAGTTACGGAGGAAAGAAAAAGGGCCTCACTGAGCAGGAGGATCATCAAGGCGGAGGGGCAGCCAAGAAGCCGCCTCGTCGAGAGGGCGTTTCGGGGAGTTCCTTGAAGGCGGCAGATCATCGTGACATGGTGGTTGGGCTGTCTAGCACGGGGAAGGTTGTCGCGAAAGGTGGCTCGCGGGGTGTCGCGAAAGGTGGCTCGCGGGGAGTCGCGAAACGTGGCTCGCAGGATGTTGCCGAAGGATCTGCTTATGATCATGAGTTTGCGTATTCTTACCATGGGCCGACGCCTTTCGTGGATAACAAGATGGCTCTTTCAAAGATGTATCGTATGATACAGGCCCCGAATGAGACGTACGCTGAGATTGATGACTCCTTCGGGGAAGACTGCTTTGCCGATATCGCTCAGTGCCATGCGCAGGTGAGTTTCGCTCTTGCGTACTTTCGTATGGTTTGTTTATCTCGATTCTTGGGTAGGGCCAAAAATAAAAATATAAAAGGAAGGAATAGATTACCCATCGAATTGGCCCAGTCTATTTACAAGCTAATGGATCAATATTGAAGAAGGCTCATTGGCTGAAGTCAACCCGAAGTCAACAGAAGCAGATGGCGGCCTGGCCCATTTTTTAGTTGGTAATTTGGCCCATTTACGAAAAAGCCTGCAGGCCCAAAGACTGGCACCGTCATCGAGGTGCTATAAATAGCACAATAACCTGATGTGACAAGAAATCTGATATTTTTCGGAAAAAGGACCTTTTCTCGATTCTCGAGCCCGACAAGTCTGCGCTCCCGAAGTCGACTTCTCCGCGAGACGTCCTTTCTCCTTCCTTTTGACGGTTCTCTGCTTGACAGTTCCTCGGAACTCGGAAACCGGGCCGCCCTCTTTTACTTAAAGTTTTCGACGATTTCGTCTTTGTCCTCCTCTCTTTGTACTTGTCTTTTCGATTAAATAATTAATAAGAAAATCCCCGAACTTTCATCTCCGACTAGTCTATTTTACTTAGTGCGGAAACCAGTTCCAATATTGCCTGTCAATCGTTTTAGCTTTTCCTCTTTTGTCCGAGTCCCCTTAAAAGTAAAATGCGTGTCTTTGTGTATGAATTAATTCGTGATGCATTGCAATAGCTTTGAGAAAGTATACTAATATGGAGACATTTCGCAGGTCAGAGAAATGGTGGCAGTGTTGGATCTTGATATTCTTTACTATCCTTGTCCAAGAGGGACTCCAAATTTCCGCCCGAAGGTGCTTCAGATGGGCGGGAAACAACAATTTCCGTACATGGTTTGCCATTTTATCCTAATGATTTTCTATTCTTTTTTCATCCTTCCTATGAATGCCATCCTTGGAAGTAATTGTCTTTGCCCTGATATGTGTTCTTGCGTCGAGTTCAAATTCATGATGTGTTGCAATATTAAGTTCTTTTTTTTTTTTCTCTCAGAAACCTTAGAAATGTTGGCTTTTTATGCTTATATCCACAAACTCATGTCTGTTGCCTTGCCACCACCACTCTAATCAGTAAGAAATAAGATTTTAATGTTCTGTGTTTGATTATATAATCTCTCTTTTAATTATAGGTTGATCCCAATACCGGAGTGTCCATGTATGAATCAGATGGAATCATCAAATATCTATCCGAGAAATATGGTCGGTTCCTGCTTCTGTTTACCAGATCCTTTTATAGTTATCGGCAATAATAGCATCTTTTTCATTGTCATTCAAGTAATATATTTTTTTCTCTGTTTGGTTAAACTTGTTCAGGAGATGGAACCGTTCCTTTAAGTCTGAAACTTGGCCCATTAACGGTTAGTTTCATTGCACATGTGGCCGATTATATTCCTTCGCTTCACAGTTCACACAGTCCAAGAGTAAAATTAGTATTGCTACTTTTATGTTTTTAGGCTATAACAGCTGGCTTTGCAATGATTGGCCGTATGGGAAAGGTAAGAAGAACTTCTATTACATTTTTTAGCATTTATTCTCTAAAATACAAATGTCAACGAAACTTATAAGATCAAATGTTCCTCTATGGAAGAGTATGCTATTTTGTTTAGGTAGTAGCATCACTTGCCATTATCCATTATACAATATGGGTTTCAGCAACAGTTTTGTCTCAAAATTCATGATTTTGTACCATGCAGGGTAACTTGTACACACCAGCAAAACTACCACCTAAGCCACTCGAATTCTGGGCGTATGAGATCTGATGTCATCACCATTTTTTGATCTATAAAAACCTTTGTCTTATTAAACATACAAGGTTTTTTTGAGGTTTTTTGAGTAGCAGATTAGTATGTTGCGGGTGGAGAACAAGCTTTTGAAAGAAGAAAAATAACAACAATAGACAGTGCTCTCTATTTTTTTCATGGAAATGATGGGATGAGGATAAAAATCAAAAATGTAATACTCTTGCAAAACAAATGTATACCATTAGATGGTTTCTGTATCTAGAATATTATTGATTTATAAATCTTTTTGGTAACTTAAACGTGTTAGGTGACCAAGAATAAAGCTTAGGAAAATGGTGTCTATCGTCATTCTTTTTAACTTTTGGTCTCAGCATTTCCTAAACTAATGCAAATCGAGTGTTGATTTATGTGTGAAAGAGACAGAGAGTAACAACTACAACAATAATAATCTTCAAATAAAAACAACAAAATTGTATAAAATAGTGATTGGTATTTTTCGATTCTAATTTGTGATCAATAACGGAATTGAGATTTTGTGGTCAACCATGTTTATGGTTTTCAAAAGAAGTTTCTGATTTGGACATATATAACATGTTGATTGAATTTTTTTATTATATATTAGTTTAGAGTAACTTAAAATTATATCGTTATTATTTATAAAAAAAGGGATTTCTTTGCATATATATTATCTGTTAAGAGTAATAATAACTTCTGATAGTTACTTTAAAATAATATTATTTGGTATATATGAAAAAGAGAATTTTCTGTTTTCTATAACTGAAAATAAAATATTTATATATATATTTGAATATTTGAAAATCAAAGTTGTATATTGATATATATATATATCATCTATATTATCAATATCCTTTGAAAAAAACGACAAATGAGATATTTCTTGCATGTATATCATTTGTTATAAAGAATAAAAAAAATTTATGGTTAGTTTAAGATAATATCGTAGGTAATTATGAAAAAGAGAATGTTCTATTCTCTATTACAGAAAAATTGGAGATTCGTATATATCAATATAAATTTGTACTAATCCAGATGTGAATTGTGATATTTCTTTATATTTGTAAAAACTAAATTGTATAACGATATATAGACTTTCTATATTATCGACATCCTGTGGAAAAAGAAATTTCAAATGGGATATTCCTTGCAATATTCCAATCAATATTCACTATAAATACTGAATCTCATCAACATCCTGTGGAAAAAAGATCATTCATAGTTTTAAAATTAAAATAGATACTTTGATTGTAATTTTCCTTCCAACAATGAATAAAGATGTTTATGCTGAATCTGATGTACGGGAATCTATGAATGATAAGTATGATTCCATTTGCTTGCAAGTTTTGAAATCTTCATTGTGTTTTCAATTGTAGAGTAAGAAAACATGATTTTTGATTCATTTCGACTGCCAGTTTTGAATATTTATTTCTGTTTTCTGTATGTAGTTATACCAACTGATTTTTTTGATTAAGAGCATCGAGATGTTAACAAGCAAAGATTTCAAATTGAGACAAATCGAGATGTTAAAATCTTATCATACCATAGCTGCAAATTTATACAAAACAGAGAAACAATTTTTATTTAAGAATTCATAAACATGGAATTTGTATTGGCTGTGTTAATTCTAATAAGAAGGGGTGAAAAAGAAGAAAAACGAAAGAGAGGAAGTAGAAGTGATGAAGAAGAAGAAAAATAGAGAAGGTGAAAAAAACAGAAAAGGAGAACGGAGAAGAATGAGAATGGATGAAGAAGAAGAAGACATGAAGGAGGAAGAGAAGAAGAAGAAGAAGAAGGATAATAAGGAGGAGAAGGGATGAAGAAAAATATGAATACATAGAAGAAGAAGAAGAAGGGAGAGGAAGAACAACGAAGGAGAATGAGAAGAAGGGATGAAGAAGAAGAAGGGATGGAGGAGAAGACAAATGTGTAACCAAGAGTCGTTAGCTCGACTAATAAAAGATTTATGCAAAGCTTAGAGATCACATGATCGAGTGACACTTGGGATGAAGCTGATATTACATAATGTGGTTTCGGGCCTGCAGAGAATGCAAGCTTCGGCTGATATCCTCATAGTAATAAAAAAAAAAGAATAAGGAGAGAGATGAGGTGAAGATGATTAACAAGAAGAATTAAAAGACCGGGAAAAAAAAAGATAAAGAAGAAGATGAAGCCAAAAAGGAAGATGTTGGAAAAGACGAAAACAAAGGCGAATGAAGATGGATAAAAGGTGATGAAGAGGTAAACGAAAAAAAGAAGACAAAATCTGAAAAGTCAGAAAAAATGGAAGATAAGAAAGAAAAAATCCAGAGAAGAAAGACTATAAGTAAAAAAAGGAGAGATGATGAAGAAAATGAAACAAGACATATACAAACTATAAGAAGAAGGAAAATACGAGAAAAAAATAAGACGAAACAAAAGAAAGAAAAGACGAGTACGAAGAAGAAGACGAGGTGAAGAAAAAAAGAAAGCATATGAAGCTAGAAAATAGAAAGATGATGAAGAATAATAAGGAAGAAAAAAAGAATGGAAGACGAAAAAAGAAAAATCGGAAGAAGACTAAGGCTAAGAAAAGGAAGAAGGCGGATAATCAAAAGACATTGAAGAATAAGAACAAGAAGGAAAAGATGATGAGGAATTTAAAAAGGTGGAATCAGAAAGAAAAAAAAAAAGAAGGCTGAAAAAAGACAAAGTGGAAGAAGGCTATGAAAAGGAAGACGACAAACAAGAGACACTCATAGATTTTCTGGTGCATGGTATATATCTAGGTTATTTGCTGGTGCATGGTATATATCTAGGTTACTGGTTCTAAAGGACTCTTCGATTTGCTATATAATTAATGAAAACCCTAATTGTATGTCCTATATACTGTTTGCTGACTCTAGGTAATTTATATTTTAGCTCTGGTATTTTACTTTTGGTGTTTTCTTCAATTTTTTATTCATGTTGAATTGTTATGGTGTCTTCTTGTAATTTTTTGATTTTACTATCGTTTGCAATCCTGATGATTCATCGTTTGTCTATTTTTCTTAACAAACTCAGTTGCAGTTTGATTTGATTCGTTGTGTATTATATGTTCTTTTGATAGTTTATTTCCATTTAGATTAAAGCTTTTTTTTAAAAGTTATCTTCTTTTGTTGTTATCTTTTACTTGATTTGTTATTTTATCTTTTGTAGATCAATATGTGTCATGATGTTTTGGACTAAGTTTTTTTTACGTAGTATGATTGTTTTTTTTTTTGGATTTTCGTTTGTGCCTTTTTGGTTTCATGATTATATAATGCATGTTGATCTTAAAGATGGAAGATGATGCAAAGATTGTGTACAACACATTGGAGATGACTAAAGGTAACCACAAGGTGATACAAAATCTTTACTTCCACATATATATTTAATGTTCATCGCGATCTTCTTAAAATTGATGTCTTTTTTTGAACTATATATGTCTTTTTTTTTTAACTATATATGTCTGTTTTTAACCACTTGTATACAGACAATACTCTACCGATTAGTTTCATTTGGCTGTTCTTTTTATTCATATTTTTTTTATAATAATTGCTGCGAATTTCTCTTTCAAAATTATATATTTACTATATATTCTTGAATATTTTATTGGTATAGGTAAAATGTTCAAAGATATTGGTGATATTGAGTTAATTTGTGAGATTGTAAAGGCTAATAGATGGGGGTTATGAAGAGTGAATTATGAGTACTCTTTCGATCACTCTCTATTCTGGTAATGTTGATGAACCTCTTGAGCTTTGCAATTCTACTTTTGACTTGTTTTGTGGTTTGTTATCGGACTGCTAAGTGTTGATGCGGAAGAAATTGAAGGAAATTCTAAAGAAGAAAAAGAAAAACCAGAAGAAGAGAATTAAGAAGTTTGAAAAGAAGAAGAAAATATTTTTTTTAGATTGAAGTGAAAGAAAAAAAACAAAAGATGAAGAAGACAAAGTAGAAAAGAGTTAAGACGAGAAAAATATGAAGTCGAGCTGAAATTTTTTGAGAAGAATAACAAACCTGAGAAGATGAAGATGATAAAATGAGTGGGCAGGATAAAATGAAGAAAAAATCTTGAGAAAAGGTGACAAAGAAAACTGGAAAATAAAGAAAAAGTAGAAGTTGTAGGAGATGAAGACCATGAAGAATGAAAAGACAAGTAAGAAGAGGAAAAGAATAAAACGGTGAATAAGAAGTTGGAATAGACAACAAAAATGAATAAAATTGGAAAGAAAAAAGATAGATAATAACGTAACGATGAAGAAAAAGTAAAAAATCAGTAAGGTGGAAAAGAAAAGTATAAGTAAGAACTCGGGGAAAAAAAAGAAAAAAAAACAATAAGATGAAATAGAAGAAAAAGAAAACTGAAATATGAAGAAGACGAAGTAGAATAAAGTAACTAATAATTGGAAGCATAAGAAGTCGGAGTAAATGAAGACAATAGAATATATGAGATGAAGACGATGAAAAAATGCAAAAAGTTAGAGCATGACAATGAAAAAAATCAAAAGATATAGAAAAAGAAAGAAGAAAAGGTTAGAGAAGGCGAGGAAGAAGACATGGACAAATTTAAAGAAGATGAAGGAGAGGAACGTAAGAGAGTTGGAGAATAATAAAAACCGGAAAAAGAAGTAAAATAAATACCTTGGAGAATGAAGAAAATAAAAGTAGAAGAAGGATAGATAAGAAAATTATGAAAATAAAACCAACAAATAATAAGAAGTATATATGAGATGAAGATGATAAAGATAATTAGAATGAGAAGACAAGCAAAAAAAATTCAAAAGATGAAAAAGCAAAAGAAAAAGTTGGGAAAAAATGAATATGAAGATGATGGAGAAATAAAAATAATAATTTAAAAGTGCCAAAATTAGAAAAAAAAAGTCTGAAGAGATGATGAAAGCGATGAAGAAGAAGAAGAAAACCGAAAGACATATAAGCCAAAGTAGAGGACTATATGAGATCGTTTCTAAGAAATCTATAGGACATTAAAAGATATTGTT